CTTGAGCTTCTGTGTAGAACAGATTCAGTAAGCTGGAGAGGAAATGCCCCCTCATTAACAAAGAGATCGTCTTTTAGCCTCCAAAAAGAGATTGTTGATCTAAGAAAAACCCAGGACATCTTCCTATTCATCTCTGATCAAGGAAAACAGCAAAAATTGCAGGTTTTCTTTTCTGTACCCAACTTACTTAAGTATAAATAACTTTATTAATTTCTTCATAAATAATATTTGAACGATTTAAAAAACAACATTTATAACAATGTCACAAACATATCATTACTCACAGTAAGCTTTAATACTACTGATATTTATTTAGACTCTCTCCCTTGTAGACCACATTACACCACAGAAACAGCTTCAGTGATACTGCTGGTATTAAAGGTACTGTGCTACAGTAGTTTGAATCCTTTCCATCCAATGGACTACAGTTTCTTCATGTAAATGGAGAGTCCTCTTCTCACACTAAGGTTAATTATGGAGTTCCACAGGGTTCCCTGCTAGGACCAATTCTGTTTACATTATACATGCTTCCCTTTTACATTGACTTTTACTGCTGTGTGGATAATACCAAACGTTATTTATCTAAGAGGCCAGATAGCACAACAATTAGTTAAACTCCAGGAATGTGCTAAAAATAAAACAGCGTGGATGATTCTTCCTTCTAAAATCATTGTTGTTGTGACTGTTGTTGTGATTTTGTTCTACATAGATTGAATTAAAATGAATTGAACAGAATCAGGCAAAATCTCACCATGTCAGTTCCCAGGTCAATACAGAGGATGGTGACAGTTCCCAGGGCAAGAGGGATGTCAAAAAGCACGAAGAAGAGGAATGGCGACATCTCGGGGATTTTACTGGTCAGAGTGTAGGCGATAGACTTCTTCAAGTTATCAAAGATCAGACGGCCTGAAAAAGGAATTCAGCAGCTGCTGCGAAGCTTTGTATTTTATGGAATTTTACTTTTTTTCCAAGTCCTGATATAGATGTTACCTTCTTCCACTCCAGTTAAAATGGAGGCAAAGTTATCGTCCAGCAGGATCATGTCAGCAGCCTGCTTGGAGACATCAGATCCAGCGATGCCCATGGCAACACCGATGTCAGCTTTCTTCAGAGCTGGAGAGTCGTTCACACCATCACCTGTCACGGCCACAATGGCTCCCTGGAAGAAAGCATTTTTTTATATACATTTTAAACAAAACAATGTTGAAACTTTGTCTGTGAGAATCCCTGCGATGCTCACCTGTCTCTGGCATCCTTCCACGATGATCAGTTTCTGCTGAGGAGAGGTCCTGGCAAATACAATTTCAGTGTGGTGCTTCAGCACATCGTCAAGCTGCTCTGGGGTCATTTCTTTCAGCTCACTACCATGGACGACGCAGGCCTTAGCTTCCCTGTAGATTAGATTGCAGCAGTGTTAGTACGGAGGTGTTTCGCTGATTTTTTATTTTTTTTGTGCAATTCTGCATGCTTTTTTTTTCTTTTTTCTTTTTTTTTTAATGCGCATTGTATTCTGCGTCCTGATTGGCTGTAGACCATTTTCAATCAATCTTGTGCAGTGTCTCTGGCACAGTACAGATTGCATTCAACTTGTCAAATTTACATAAATCTTCGATCGCTTGCAGTGTGACTCTGAAGTGCTGCACTGTATGTTTGTAAGTTTTCTCCCCAACAAACACAACAATGTCGACGAAGCATCATCACCTGCGGGTGCCTTCGGTTTCATTCTATAATACTGCACTTATTTTTCTACAAGGTTTGAACTTTGACAGTATTTAAACAAGAGAGAAAAGTGTAAAAATCTTCATGCCTGTCTGAAAAAAGTGTGTAGTGAGGGGTTTTACAGCTTTAAAACATTTATAATAATTGCAAAAAATAAACTTGGCTACTTCGCGGATTTCACTTATCGCAGGTTATTTTTAGAACATAACTCCCACAATAAATGAGGGACAACTGGATGACAGTAGTGTGTCATTCGCTAACTGGAGTTCATTCGCTAACTGGAAGGTTGCTGGCTCGTGTGTGAATGTGCATGAATAAATGGATAAATGTTGCATGTTGTACAAAGTACTTCAAGTACTCAAGTAGAGCAGGAAAGCACTATATAAGAATCATCTATTAACGAACAGCAGCTGTAATCCAACACCCTGTGTCCAAGCACAGACTATGTTAAGGATATTAGAAAACAAAATAACATCAGCCTCAGCAAAAGTTGATGATGGAACATTCAGCAAAAAGCTACATTTACAACATATTCTACTTGTTGTCTTCCCACTGCAGATAATGAATCACATGTGTTGCATTTATCATGTATTATTTGCACTCGAGTTACGAAGGTGACTACTGATTCAGGATTATAGTCCAGTATAGTCTTGTATTGCTGATGAAGAAACAGGAAAGCCAGTAGCTAAGAACCATATCAAGATTATTTTTTCTTGCACGAATTAATGGTAAAAGCGTTTTAGGCTCTGCAGATGTCAAAACCTTCATTAGCCAAGCTTGATTTAATTTGAACAGCTGCCTCTTATACTCACAAAATGTTCAAAGCTAGCTAAATAAATCTTGATAAGAAAACTAACCTAGGGTTGACCTCTGAAACTGGAATTTTTAAGCGGGCAGCAATGACTACAACAGTCTCATTGCCTTCTGAGATGATACCCACACCTCTAGCAATAGCCTTGGCTGTAATTGGATGGTCACCTGTGACCATGATGACCTGAGAGGGAAAAGATAAGAAAAATATTTAACTCAATTTAAGTTTTGACCACAGTTTGAAAAAAGAGAAAGTTTAAAATTTGTTCATTCAAAAAGTTATCATACCTTGATTCCAGCACTCCTGCATTTACCAACAGCATCGGGCACAGCAGCACGAGGAGGGTCAATCATGGACATGAGGCCAATAAAGCACAGGTTCTCAGTGGGGAAGTTCACATCATCAGCATCAAAAGCAAAGCCTTCTGGGAACTGGTCATCAGGCAGGTGACAGTGGCAGAAACCTGAAAAAGACACACAGAAAGTACTTGTTAGATTAAATTTTCTCCAGTAAACAAACAGTTCATAAATGCTGATATAAAAAGAAGTGATGCTGTACCCAAAACTCTCTCTCCAAGCCCTCCCAACTCAAGATAGGCACGATTAAAAGAATCTTTCAGCTGAGCGTCCAGCGGCTGCTCTTTGCCCTGGATCACGATGGTGGAGCAGCGGTCCAAAATCCTCTCTGGAGCTCCTTTCATCACCAGCAAATGCTTGGTTTCGCCAGGGGTGGAGTTTTTATGGACGGAGAGCTGTGGGGCAACAGAAAGCCTTGATTTAAATGCAAGGTTTTCAGGTCTCAAAAATTAGGCCCTCATTAGGCGTTCTACATTTGCAAGGGTGATCTTGAGTGTGACTTGAATTTCACCATCTAGCGGTGAGTGCAAGCATTGGTGGAGATGTCACTGTGCCTGCCGATTATTTGTGACCACATGGAATTGTTCATGGAGACTTTACATTGCAATGTCCCAACTATATATGTGAGCAGGCACTGGACTTCAAAGAAGTATACTACTGTGCATTTCCACAACAACATACCGTCAAGGTTTATTGCCTTAAACTGTACTCCTGCCAGCAAAGAATGACTCCACTGATAACAACAAGAAGTCAGACTGTATATTTATAGAAGTTCACAAACCAAAGCATGATCGTGGTTGTAGTTCCTCCTGCATATATAGTATGTACAATGTATTTTTGACATTTGTCGCTCTGTATTTACCTGCCCATTTGTCTGATTTACCTGGTATTTGTTTGTGGAATTAAAGGGGATCTCAGCAATTTTGGGGTATTTTTCTCTCATGTCACTAACAGAGCCACAGCACAGCTCGATACACTTCAGCAAGGCAGCTTCTGATGCATCACCAGCGACATGTCTCTGTGGATTTTTAGAAAAAGACAGAGTTGGTGAAATGGATTCATAAGTCACAACATATGCCTTGTTTAAAATACCAAAGCTTTTACTTGCCAACCACAAGAGCCTTAAGAAATGAAAGTTTATCACCTTCAAAACAGGAACTTTGTTCTGTTCAGCCAGGAAGACGGCGCGGTTGCAGAGTCCGGCAGTTCTGGACAAAGCAGCCCAGGTGGCAGAGCTCCTGTCAAAAGAGGTACCGCTCTGGTTCTCAGTGGTGTCAGCCTCATGGATCTGGTTGTCAAACCACATGTGAGCCACAGTCATTCTGTTCTGGGTCAGGGTGCCGGTCTTGTCAGAGCAAATGGTGGAGGTGGAGCCCAGAGTCTCGACAGCCTCTAGGTTCTTCACCAGGCAGTTCTTCTTGGCCATACGCTTAGCAGTCAGAGTCAGACACACCTACAGACAAAATGTATGTTTTCTAAACTATGACAACTGCAGACAGTAAGACATAAGCTATCTGCAGAGAATGTCATAAGACACCAAAACTCACAGTGACAGTAGCCAAGAGACCTTCTGGCACGTTGGCGACGATGATACCAATGAGGAAGATAATACCCTCCAGCCAGTTATATCCAAGGATGACGGAGAGGATGAAGAAAGAAACACCCAAGAACACGGCCACTCCAGTGATGATGTGGATAAAATGCTCGATCTCAATGGCAATGGGAGTTTTTCCAGCTTCAAGACTGGAAGCCAGGGTGGCGATGCGGCCCATGATAGTATTATCTCCAGTGTTGATGACGATTCCTCTGGCTGTGCCTGAAAATTGAAGAGACACCGAGTCCACAGAACAATGGATGATTTCATTCTTCCTCGTTATCCTTCTTATTTTGTGGACTACCAGCAAGCATCACTAGACTACTGTTTCATCAAATAAAAACCACACTCAAATTGTCAACCACAAACTGTTCATACTCTACCTTCTACACAGTTGGTGGAGAAGAAAGCAATGTTCCTGGTTTCCAGTGGGTTTTCATTGGAGAAGTCTGGAGAACGAGTCTGGGGCTCTGATTCACCAGTCAGGGAGGAGTTGTCCACCTGAGAGATTACAAACAAAATCAAACGAAGATCAATGAGGGGTCAGTGACATGAAAACACAGAATTAAATATTTTTGTAAAAAAAAACAAAAAAACAACTTAAGGAACAAATGGGAACATTTTATGATATGATCAAAGAAAAGCTACTTAGAATGAAGACCACCACATCCAATCAACATAGCTAGTAACTTCTCAGATTTACTAGTGGGATACATAAAAATGTTGAACAGTTGAACAGTCAGCTTGCATGCAAAAGATTAGCTAACGCAAATGG